TGTTAGTCCCTCGTCCAATAACTGAGATGAAAAACTTTTATATTTAATTAAATTAATTAATCATACAATCCAAAAGTCTATTGGTATGTAAACGAGTACGTTTATAAATGATATTTACTGTATATAATATTTTTTTAAACGTTTAAAAAATAGTTTAACTAACGGAAAAAATTTTTTTTTTAAAATAAATATTGTGCATTCAATTTCTGACAATATTTTAGTATTAAATTAAATAAATGCTCTTCAAAATGTATTACTAAATTACTCTTACACTAAATTTACCTTACAAACATGAAACATTTTTAAATTACAATAAAAAAAATGTTTTTCATCAACTAACCTTATATAATTTTCATAAATTTTTTCATATCTACACTTATTTATTTCAAGAGATTTGTACTTTAAGTATTGTACATATGATCATTACATTTACATGCTCATGTTCAAATATTTAATAAACTTGCCTATTCTTTGACATAAGCTTTTGATTTATTTTTAAAACAGTTTATGATATTTGCATCTAATGAGTATTCATTAACTAAACTAATATATTGCGTATTACCGTTGTAATTTATATAAATATTCAATATATAATATCTCCTACGTATTTACACTGTATTACCCATACGGGCTAACAATGTTCCGACAATTTAATCATGCCCAAGTATACACTCACAATTATGGCCAGGAATTTCGCCACTCCAGAGAACGCGCGCTATCTGCAAGTAGGCGAAGCTTATCAGCATCAGCGGGACGACGTACAGGCCCACGAACTTGACCCAGGCGGCGTACAGCTGGGTGCTTATCTCCCAGTCGGGGCCGCATTGCGTGAACAGATTCGTCTTCTCGCGCACCTCTGGACTTGGTATTAGCGAGAACGTCCTGTAGGCTATGAGCTCCGGTATGTCTGTGTGAAGAAATTATTATACCATTATTGCTGTTATTATTCTACACTTCTTAGTCCTAAAAAAATAGTAGTTTTCCTACGAGTTTGAAAAGTCTCTGTTTGCGAACCGAGAGGTTTGCGGCCCGAGCCGAAGGCGAGGTTCGTAACAAGGTTCGTAAAAATAGTAGTTTTCCTACGAGTTTGAAAAGTCTCTGTTTGCGAACCGAGAGGTTTGCGGCCCGAGCCGAAGGCGAGGGACGTAACGAGGTTCGTAAAGGAGACTTTTCGAACGAGTTCCGGAAAACTGCTTTTTCGCTTGAGGAAGTACCAGCCTCCCAAAACCACCCGAGGGCGGAAAATTACGTTGGCGGTGCTTGGTTTTAAAAAATTGTGGTAAGCCAAGTCGTTTCGGATTTCGCGTGGATCTATGTTTATGAAATTTGCATCCCTCGCTTTACGTATCTTTTCATAATTATATACATGATTCTTGCAGTACATGCAACAGCATTGGTAAATAATTGAACCAGTTTTTGTGATTCAAAACGATATCTAGGGCTGCTGTAAGATTTGAAAAACATTTTGATTTGTCTGTGTTTTTGAGATTAGATGAAGACAGGATGCCGTGCAAAAATTTTTTAAAACCAGACAAGATGTGTAATGCAAAGAACAAGATAACATAATAATATATCAAGATCTGTGGAAAGTAACGGTCTTGTTTTATACTTTAAAAGGTGTAAGAAAGCAGTAGACCGTTACAAATTTTTTTATTTTTTATTAATTTTACTACTTTGCAACAGTAGTGAGTTTAACAATTATTTGGCAATAACTCATGGATAATCAATAGAAATTATTTTTCAACCAATTAAAAACGTAAATAACAGCCAGTGCTAAGGCCTTTTAAAGTAACCATTGTCTTTTTGAAACAAATAATTTATTTAATAAAAAGATGAATGTAAAATTCAAAAAATCGCTACCATCATTTTTAACTTTTGAACAACATTTTTTAGATTATCAAATATTAAATATGTTTTTATTTTTATTTAAAAAAATCTCAATTTCATTAATTTTCTCCAAGTTGCAAAAACTAGCCTCATGCCTTGGATCTAAAATCAAACAGATAGTATGAATCCAGTTTAGAAATAAATATTCGAAAATTGCGTAATTTATATTAACGCTTAAGAGCAAGATTTATCGAGAAAAGAGGACTACCGAACTCAGACCAGAATTAAATGAGATCACGTCAAGATTTGCAATTTGTAAACAAAGATAAGACTTTTCAAAAATCATGTCTTGTAATATTCAGACAAACTGTATAAATAACTCATGCAACAGTGACAATAAAACCTGTATTAAAGATTTTTCAAAACGTACTTCAAGTAGTTGTTAATTGTATGACGTATACGTGAATAGAACAATGATGATAGAGAAAACAATTACATGGTAATTACGTTGAGTTAATACCTATGGTTAGTGCTAGCATCCAAATAATAAAGATGACCTTCTTGGCACGACTGGTCGTGGACTTGAATTTCAGGGGTGAACGGATTGCGTACCATCTATCAAAGGATATGTAGACCAACGTTCCCACACTCACCGTTACCGAGACAGTCTGAAAATTGATTTTAAGCACAGTTATAATTATTATTTTATTATTATTATTATTATTGTTATTATAAATAATTATTCTTTTTATTATTTTATGATCAATCACAATAAAGGTTGTCCCATAAAAATTCTATCTCGCAAAGTAAAAGCGCTTGTGTCTTTGAAACTTTCACCTAATAGCCGGGATGAAAAACCAAACGCTTGCAGATACTTACTGTAAGTAATAATAATTATACTAGAAGTTGAAAAAAAAAGTTTCAACAGGTAATAAACACAACAAATCTTTAGAGTGCAAAGTGATGTTACGAGGAGTATTAAAATTTATATGCGAAGCAGCAGTAGAAATGCGGCGTGGCAGTCATATGGCTATGAATAAAATTGGCATGCATAAATCGACGGGTGTGAGCGAAATCTCATTTCCAAGGGGAGAAACGGGCGGTAAACTTTTTTTTTTGCACCCACGTTGAGGCAGAAGTTGTCGATAAGTCGAGAAGCTCTGTGTAAGAGCTATGAATTATTAAGCGCAATATTGAGATACACCCAATCGAGCAGCTCAATAAGGTACGGGGACACAAGTACTCTTGTATCTTATCGTACTCTATTGTTCACGCATATTTTCTTAACATTATGTAGATTTGAAATAATCTTACACTAAAATGTGCGTTAAAAAAAATGACATACCTACGGTTTAAAGTGTAACTTTTAGAACACACAAAGTGCATCGTCCTTAGAAAAATAATTCATGCGACATTTGGCACTTATTAAGCTTTGCTGCAATTTTATTACTGTATGCGTTCGAAAATCCACAGTACAAAGGCTAGTTTGCATTAGGGATCTAGAAAACAATTTGCTCCTCTTCAGTTTTCTTATCCCCAAAAAGGGTCGATTATTATAGAGTCAAGTAAATCCTTTCTTACCTATAAATCAAGTGCAGGTCATCCCTATTGTAGTTTGATTGGCCATTTTTTGTGACTACGATATGGTATGAATTCATACTATGCAGATGTGAGATCACGATTATGTGTTATTAGCTTGAGGATTTGAGAACTTTAAGGCAGAGCCTCTACTACAGCGATATAAATGATACAATATCACTTAAATAACATTAACCATGACACAGAGGCATTAACAATTTTTAGATTTTCAGATATTTATAACATGCTTTTTGCTCAAAGTTTTAAATTTAAGGTTATAAATTTTCTTTTTTAATCTATACAACATGTACCAACTTTTGAATAAAATTATATGAAACTGCAACAAGTCGTCTAACTATTAGTCTAAGGAACATATTTTTTGGGTTTCATTCATTCAGCGTTTTTTGAGTATTAGCAAATCAAATGTAACTTCATTAAGGCCCGGTCCTCTATTTACTAGAATTACCTTATACTTCTAAACAGTAAAAATAAGGTTGCAAACAATTAAAAGTCCCTAAAAATACAGAAATATCAGTTTATCATGCTAGTACATTGATTTTTATAGTTTATGCCTTTCAGTCTTATACTAAACAACAAAATTTGAAAAATATCTTGCGTGGGTTTAACAACTATTGAACTGAACTTAATCGTTGTAGATCTGAGAAAATGATCGTAGGGATGTTGTTGAGTAATATTTTCATAGTTTTAGAGTTTAACTTATTGGTATATCAATGTTCGTGTTATTTACTCGAAATAAGACTTAAGACAAGCCAAAAAATATTCATTTGTTTTTTTTAATCTGTGCATATTTTTTTAAGTTAATTTGACTTATTACGTTGGGTATTGGCGTAATGATATCAATCGTTGGGAATCATATATACGTAAAGTTGGATGCGTTATATTGTACCAAGAGTCAATAAAAAAATGACGTCATGTGTTTGTAAAATAAGTTTTTGAAATGAATAGAGTCAACAATAATATTTTTTATTCATAAACTTCTGTAAGAATGACAATTACGTATAATTTTCACATGTAAGCAGCATTAGAAAACGAAATACTTTTTCCTTACAAAATTATAGGTCACTTTGTTTGCAGCCACAACTCGTAATTATCATGTCTGGAAATGAATGTAACACGATATTATCAGTTGCCGTCCAGCGAAGAATCATCATTTTCGACATATTCATAGGAACACAGCACAACTCTTTTGTACTCCGCTCAGGCATGAATATGTCCAGCCAAGGCTTCGTTTGAACAACCGTCTAAAAAACAATTTTAATCATTTATTCATTCGGATACATAATAATTTTGCATTCAACAAATGTGCGTTGGAATCTGAAGATTATTAGATAAAGAGAACCTAAGTATAACTTGAAAAAACCAAAGTTCCTGAGTGGCATTTCTTCCAGACTCAAAACCGTATGTTTAGTAAGTTGTAATTATTTTCAGGTTGGTACAGCTAATTTAGTTTGCATAGCAGCGCTCCTTTTATTTTTTAAGTTGGTCGCTGTTTGACCGGCACTATTACTTGCTACACAGTATTACCAAGGGGAGAACAGTGACTATCTGTTGCTGCCATTCCACGAAAAAAACTGGTAAAGTGACATTTTTGTCAAAAATGAGTTATCTACACCTATTGTTTGAGTCTATTTAAAAAATTTATACTTGCACTGTTCCTTTCTTTGGAAGTGTAGAATCATCCAGAGCTACCGTTTTATGAAAAAAACAAGTTAAGTGACATTTTTATCGGAAATAGGAGTTATTTATACTGATAAATTCATCAGATAATTCCTCGATTGTTGAAGTTTTCAAAAATTAAATTTCTCTTTTTTAATAACAAAAGAGAACTGTCTTTCACAATTAATTACAACACTCATTATTTATAATTAAACAAAAAAATGAACTTTAGATATTTATGTTTTCGACTAAAATGTCAGTTAAGGTAGTTATATCCTAAATTGAAATGATGATAAAATCTTCATAAAACTTGGTGTATGGGTAAATTAATATCCAATAAACACTCTGTTAAATACATGTACCTTAACTCGTTTTTTGGAAATCTTTGATTAAAAAGACATATTTTTTTCTCGCGTCACTGATGATAAAATATGGAGTGGACCACTTATAAACTTATTTAAAAGGTGTAAGATATCTTCTAGAATTAGAAGAAGCCTCCTACATACCTGTAAATAACCTATTATGATACTTGTATTCGAAGCAACATATACCACTGTTATATATTTAGTGGAATCAGCTCTTTAATTAATCCGTAGTTTCAATATAGAATGAAAACAAATTTGGTTGGTTGAGCGGGACTATTTATACTTTGGCAATTTAGTATTTCCATCATCAGCGACTTCTTACTATGTATAAACATAATTGAATATAAAAACGTTAAAGAACATATAAGATATAAAGAAATTTTTTTATACCTTACTTAAAAAAAACTATCTAAATGATCGGGTCCTAACATTGCACATACACCCTCTGTGGCCCAACAATATATTCACAATATTAATGACATATTAATATTGTGAATATTAAATAGTTCTGCTTTGTTTTTATTCTATATTGAATTTTGCACAATTGAGCAAGTTTTGGATGATTGGAGTTGCTGTTATACATCGTGAAATCCTTAGTTCGTTGTAATGGTTAATTTTTTAACAGAACTAATAAATTTTGAGAATTAATCAACGATATTTTTTTCCGTTCTAATTAATCATTAACTTTTTGTGTAGCTTCATATCGGGGGGCTCTAGGGCTCTTCGCTTGATATGGCACGAAACAAATGAGTGACTTAAAAAAAAAAAGAAGAAAATTCGTGCTAAATAGAGTTGTGACGTAAATGCTTGTTACTAATTGCAGGCTTAAATTTATCATAATTATACTGAGGATACATGCAATGATTCATACAAGTGAACCATCGTTGCTATGTCAACATTATTTTTATTAAAATTTAAAAAAGTATTGAAAAATGATGCAGGTATCGTCGTCATACCATAATCGTGAAAATTGAATTTAACAATTATTAATAAAAGTTATTAATTTCTTAAGTTAATGTCACTTACTAAAAAGGCTAGAGATTGGTCAAGTTCTAAAATAGAGAGCTGTTTCGAAGTTTAAAGTAAACCTGAAGTCTAGCACTACAAGTTTTTTGAATTAATACGTTGTTTAATAAGTTCAAAAAACTCTGTTAAATTAACTTGTACATGAGTGTATGAATCGTGCGACTTTCCGATATTTGCACATCTAATCACATTTTTTTGATTAACCAATTTTTCAACCACTTTAAGTTTACCACAGATCATCTAAAATAGTGTATTACAAAACATTTATGCGTGACTTGTCATTTCTACACGAGTATGACTAATTTTTCAACTCGGAACAAATTTTTCCAGTGTGGATAATGAAAGAATTTTTTAAAAGTTTTTTCTTACATTGGAAATACTGTCAATGAGCGAGCGATTTTTGACGTTTACCGGTATACGACTTGTCTAGTGCCAACAATTGAAGTATAACTTTTTTGGGTTTGAGCAATCATGGGCTCGAGATTTTCCGATATAATAATATCCGATAAAATAATAAAATCTTAAACCTTTTTTTTGATGAAAGCTAAGGGAACTAGTACATAATGAAAAAAGGAAAAATGGTATCAACTGATCAACATATGAAAATTCCGTTCTTTCACTACAGCTTGTGTTGTAGATGTGTGTGTGGTCGAGGAAAGTGGTAAATCTTGTTGCCCTACGTTTCTGTAATGCACATTTGTATCTTAAATGATCATTATAGTCTTAAATAACAATATTTTACGAAAATATCTAAAATACTGTTGAAAAAAGGCTATAAGATTTATGAATTTTGTAAAATAGTTTTAAAAATTTATACGAATGTACTTTTTGCTCTGGTAAAAAATTATGCATTCGTGCCTTTATTGTAAATATTTTTATTTTTTACTCTTCAGCTGCTTGTTTTATTGTTATACTCGATACTACTTAGATAAGTTTTACTCAGCTATTTAATCATACTTAAAATATATGTGCTTTATTCTTTGTTTTCTAACTTTACTAGAAAGTCTATAATTATCTTTTTG